TTTCTTGATGAAATAGCAATAATGCTATGTTGGAGCTGGCCTCTATTATTTGTGCACTCGATTCAAACTGGCTATTTGTTTTGAGGGGATGATGATTATAAAACTGACTTCTTGCTTTGTGTGTAACGGGGAATAACCATGGTTGAGAGGATCTTTGACAATGATAAGATCTAGTCCAACGAAATTCGGTGGCTACTATGCGACTGAAACACCCTACTTAGGGTTTATGTATATTAAAAATAGTGGAGAATACTAGGGTTTTGAATTTCTCTCGTCCTAAGCTTTCGCTGAAAAATTTAGTTAGTAGATGTTAATATCGATTTTTAGTTTCTTACACAATTATGAGATGATCTTCCTAGGTTCATGATTATAGGTTGTAGAAGTAATTCTCAACGTAGTTTATTTAAGAACAACTTCTCAAAAGAACCATTATAACATTACATTTCGCAGCTTCAAATTTATCATTTTTACTTCTTTTGGTATATATTCTTTTTTTGCTATGTGGGTTTGGCCTTAGTTGGAGAAAACTTATTAAAGGTGTAGTTTACTGAGCGAAGCAACCCTGTTTGGTGATTCACTTACCAATTAAATATTTTTTTATGAGTAATGCTATTAAGAGCCATGAGAAGACTTGTTAAATGATTTATTTGACTTTTTGTAAATCTCAAATAAAAAAATAAAAATATATATATAAAATCTCTTGAACCAGTGGTAGCATTACTATATTTTAAATGAGTAAATAAATCTCATGTAATTTTAAAATCGTATAAAATATCATTTTATGAGAGGTTGCAAAAGTATTAGACTTGAGTACATGAAACGTGAGGCGCAACCAGTAAAATTTAAATCATACGGAGTGGGAACTAACGTGAGTATGCGGAGAGACATCAATTTTGAAGAATTGTATGATTTATGTATTAAAAATGTTTCAATTTTAATCGGTTTTTAAGTATATTAATGACATCATAAAATAAAAATAAAAATAAAAAACTCGTCATTATTAAATACATTGTAGCATAGACTAGACCATAAAGTATTTTCAACCATTTCCATATTTTGATCCAAACGGCTAAGAAAAAAAATATATATAAATTGGAGCACGTGTAGGATTTTGCGTAAATGGCTCGAATATGTACACTTAAGATTCCAAGAAGCAAAGTCATCCTCAAATTCCTCCTTGAAATCAAAAGTAGTATAGGTTGGTAAAGGACTCCACAGACTTCTCGCGGGCTTTTTAGAGTGGTACAAGTACAAAGAACAATTAGATATATAAAAAAATAAAACAAAAGAGTCCAGTGCTTCAGCGTCTTGTTGTCATGCGCTTTATTTTAAGTGTTATATTTTTATTTAAAATATAAAAGGGTTTTTTTTATAGAAATATTTTAGAAAAAAATGAAAAGTATGTTTAGAAATGATATTTTGTTGTGAAAATGTTAGAAATAAACACATAAATAGTTATGATTTTGGACCATGAACAGTTATAGTTTTGGGTCATGAACAGTTATCAAAATATAAAAAAACATTTTTTTAGTACTTTAGTTTTGAACTACTATTTACGAAGTGTTTTAGTACTGTGTAAAATAAAATAAGGACGCGCCATACATGCTTTTGTTGTCAAAATTGACAGTGTAACAGCCCAAAAACAAAAACATCAGAAACAAAACGCATGCTAAACGGGACCTTAATTTGCCCACGAGAACTAAAGAACAAAATAAAATTAATTAATCAATCGGCTCTACCCATGGTATAAACTCTTAGGGTGCACTATTCAATTCGGTACGATTCATAAATTTTTTAAATTGATACCGAAATTGTTGTGGTTTATAATCGAATCGAATCATAAACTATGTTTAAAAAAAAGAAAAAGAAAAAAAAAGAACTCAATAATTTACTACTGGATTTGATTTATCAAGACAAATACATATTTATACTGCAACAAATGAGCAAAATAGTAAACCTTCCAATCAAGAAACAAAATATATTTGTAATTTAAAACAAATGAACACTTATCCTTTTTTTGAAAACGAAACTGTAATCTAACCGAAACAATGATACGGTACAGTTCATACCTACTTCATGGTTCCAACTATATATAAGCAGTTCATTTCCATCGAACAGTGTCGAACCCTACAATGTTGCTTCCACACCCTGCAAAGTCCCGTCAAAACTACGACCAGTTTTTTAACGTGTAATTTAAAACAAGTTGTTCTTTTAACTTCATTTTTATTTTATGACTTTTCTAAAAATAACACGTGGCGTAGACCCATTTGCTGGTCAACATTTTAGGAGTGTACCTGGTAGGCTCTACTCATTTTCAGTGACATCAGCATTTCAGTCACCAATAGTTGAATGCCATCTGCTGCATTCCCTTGTTCAATTGGACCCAAGTAGTTCCCAGTGTTTCTTTTGTTGTTAAAGCTCCATCAAGGACCATGACATAGCTTCTCTATTATTATTATTATTATTATTATTTTGGCCTGCTTTAAGTGGTGGGTCTAAATTATATAAATTAATACATTATTCATTCTTGGTTTTATATTAATCCAGAGGACTGAGAGAGATGGATCAAACACAGATATATGAGCTAGTGTTTTCATGTTTAGCAATCCTAACTTTTATTATTGTACGAATCAATTGTTCAAATTTCTTTTATCCCATTTTGCTAAAATTTGTTATATTGTCGAAAAAAATATATAAATAGTGATATAACTTAGTTAAAGGGTTTGATTTGAGTGGTATGTCCTCCATTTGCCCAAAAAAAAAAAAAAAATTTGAGGCCTTGAGGGTTCAATCTTTGATAAAAGTATGTGTGTCTTAGTATATTTATTATTTTAAAAAATTGCTTTTAATAAACTAGTAAATTTCGTTCATTCAATTGGTTGAACTACTCTTTAGTTGCCCACAGTAAAAAATAATAAAATAAAATAGGTGTAAATGTGAACTTAATGCTATATAAATGTGTAACTAAAAAACGAGGGCATTAACTCTTTCTTTGTTTATTATGCACCAGTAAAGCACAGTTTTTTTTTTTTTTAGTGTGAAAGCTACAAGTTTTCCAAAACATGTTTAACGTCCAAACATATATAGAGCAAATTAATCCACCTGCAACTAAGAGTAAATTACACATATGTCCACTTTTTCGCAAATTTATTGTATTTTTTTTTTTAAATGATGCAAATTTTATCAAAGTCTGTTGCCTAGTGCTATTTCATCTACTTCCAAAGTAAAAGAGAGGGAGTTCGAGTCTCCTTAAGACGACATTTGTGAGAGTTACTAACTTGATAGATTCTCCCTTTTGTCTCTCGACTTTTCTTAGAAAAAAAAAAAGAAAAAAAAGAAAAAAGAAGTAAAACTAAAGGCAAATTAGTAAAATAAAAAGTTTTCCAAACAAAAATGTATGACAAGAAAAGGTATCATTTAAAAAACTTAAAGAGATGATGCAAGTGTAGTTTAATATTATCATTATTATTATAATAACATCATCATTATTTTTGTTATTATATGTTAAAACTAGTGCTTACCGGCCGGGGCTAAAGTTTTTTTTTTTGTTGGTCTTTGTTCTCAATTTTGTTTTGGATTAAGGTCATTGGCAGCTGGCTATTTTTATGGTTTCCCAATAGCTTCGTAAGATCCAAACATATGTTGTATCGAAAAATACAGTTCAGAGTCTAAGACAGAACGTACCAAAAAAATATAATTTCGATATAATATTATTTTAACAAACAATTCAGAGTCTAACGCATAAAACTTTAATACAGTATTCCGCATATATACACCAAAAAATTATAATTTTGATGCACATTCGATATTCACCATGATATTTAGATTTTTATATTCACGCGCGCCCGCACACACATATATATACATATATTTTTTTTTCCAAAAACTTTTTGGAATTTTTCATCATAGAAGGGTAGACCAATTTGGCCTATTTTGACCTTAGAAAACAATTGTGGTGTGTGTGAGAGAGAGAAGGTTATTTCCTTGAAGCCAATGACAATATGGGGTACGCATGATACATGATGGACTAGTGGTTTGTTTTTAATAAATTTCGAAAGCGAAATTGAGCAAGACTTGGACTGAAAAAAAAAGACTTAAACCTCTATCTTTTTCAAATTAAAGAAGTTTCATAATACCTTCTTCTAAGTGAATTGCACACTCTTTTAAAGGCTTTAATTTATTAAATAGACACCTTTGATATACCATAAAAACTACCTATATGTTTGTTGACTTCACCCAAAAGATCTATCATTACTTGTGTTTCAAAGAGTCCATATGTATTTACCCAAAATATATGTATATATATATATATATATATATATATATATATTGAAAAGCAAAAACAAGAAGGAAAAGACATTAACTTCTTAGATATTTATATCCATGCACATAAAAAGTATGCCTTTTTTCTCTCCTCCTTTATTATTCCATATATATAGAGAGAGAGATTGAGCACATATATAGACCACACACACATATGTATTTGATTGATGACCGTAGGATTTTAAATTCTGAATCATCATATCCTCTCTTTTTGTAAGCCATACCAACACGCATAGATTAGTAATGCATATATATAACTAATACTTCAGTGGAGACAGTGTGTGAATTTCAATTAGGAAAAAATAAATAAATAAATAAAATAATGCATAAATATAGTTGCATATCCTAATTCCTAACATCTAAGATCAAGTGATTATCTTGTATAACAAATTAAGTTGGACCCAAACAGACATCAATAGACAATGATATCAAATAAAATTCTAAAAATCACCTAATTTGGTCAACAAATTAAAGGTTGGTTCCATTTAACTTTAAAATCACCTAATTTGGTCAACAAACAAAGGAAGGACTATCTGAAGTTCTGAACTCTAATTATTTAAACAAAATAAACTCAAATTAATAATAAATACTCTTTGAATTAACCTCAAACCCCCAATTAGTCTTCAATTAAAATTAAAATTAATAAAAATAAACCGAAACAGAGCCAGTGGTTCACCCACCATTACACCATCAAAAGTCAGAATCTCAAATAGAAAGGTGCACACGGAAGAATCGTCTTAACTTTCTCTTCATTTCTTGTTCATCGATCTTATCTATAGCTAAGTTACAAACATATAATATATGTATATGTATATACATATATTATATAAATATATATATTTATACAGAAATATTTCTTTGTCCTAATAAAGCTTGCTCAATCACTGCAATCCCAAAGCCCCAATCCCAAAATAACTAACCTGGCCATGTTTCAGTTTATCCGTTATTACAACTCTGCCCTCTTCTTTCTCTTCCTTTTCCTTTCCCTCCCTTCCTTTCCCGCCAGAACCCTAACTGACCCGTCAACTGAATTAACCGTCGTTACCCAAAACAACACGTGGCACGATTTCACGAGGTTCCTCGATGCCGGGAAGGGCAGCCACGTCGCCGGCATGTCGGAGCTCAAGAAGTACTTCGAACGTTTCGGGTACCTCGTAATCCCCGAAACAAACTTCACCGACGTGTTCGATGGTGAATTAGAATCGGCTGTCATCGCGTACCAGAAGAAACTAGGCCTGACCGTGACAGGAAGGCTCGACTCCGATACCATGTTAACCATCATGTCGCCCAGGTGCGGTGTCTCCGACGCCGCACATGTGTTACACACGAAGCGTCACTACGCCTTCTTTTATGGTCAACCGAGGTGGTACCGATCATCGCAGTTGACTTACGCCTTCTCGCCGGTGAACACCATCGATTACATAAGCTCATCGGATATAAGGACGGTTTTTGACCGGGCTTTTACGAGGTGGTCCAGGGTTATTCCGATGAACTTCACGGAGGCCGAGGAGTACGAGTCGGCCGACATCAAGATAGGGTTTTACCACGGCGATCACGGCGACGGAGAGCCGTTTGATGGGGTGCTCGGAGTGCTTGCACATGCTTTTTCACCACAGAATGGGAGGTTCCACCTTGATGCAGCTGAAACGTGGGCCGTAGATTTTGGGTCAAGTAAGTCAAAGGTGGCCGTTGATTTGGAATCAGTGGCGACCCATGAGATTGGGCACATACTTGGGTTGGCTCACACCTCGGTTAAGGAGGCCATCATGTACCCGAGTCTGAGTCCGAGGACCAAAAAGGTGGATCTAAAGCTTGATGACGTGGAAGGGGTCCAGCTCCTGTATGGGTCAAACCCGGATTTCAAGTATAGTTCTTTGTTGGAGTCTGAGACCTCTTCAAGTTGGGCCCTTGGATTGGAAAAAAGACCATCCAAGTGGGCCCTTGATTTGGCAGTGGCGGTATTGATATTGTGTTTGTGTTTATGACCAACATTTTTTTTTGGTCCCCACAATTATTAAAAGTAGTCACACTCAAAAGGAAATATAAAATTCTTTTCATACCATTTAGATTCAGAAAGTGTTTCTGCATTTTTCATTTACTTTTAGTTCCAATTTTTTTTATTTTGGGTATTTGATCATTCCAGTTTTTGTTCTTTAGTGGTTGAATTGATAGCACTAAAATTATTGAAAGGGGTCACTGCTTTTTTGGCTACTCAATAAATAGCTGTATTTATTTATTGAGAAAAATTACAATACAACATTGATATGATATACCAACGATTAAATATTGACATGTAATATGAAATTAACTACTTATTTGATATAATAGTGAAGTTGCTCCACCAAGATTTGAGTTCGGGAACAATCTCTTGATGCGAGAAGGTGTACATTTAAATTTTCTAACTTTTAAATTTTGTGATGATGAAAATGCGATGTCCCTATTACACCAAATTTTTTCTTCTTATGATGATAACATAGGGAGATTGTTGATTTGAGTTTGGTATTTTGCATAAATGTGTCAAATAATAGGTTTATGACTAGTTTGACCCTCCCAATATTGGCTCAACAGTTAACATTTTATTACTTTGAATTTATAAAATCATTGAGATAAGACATTAATGGGAAAAAAAGCTTGAAGCAAGTCAAACATAATGATGGGTTTAGAAGTGAGTTGGGGCCACTTTTCAAGTCTTCCCAAGAGTCTAAATATTAATCTTCACCACTATGAATTGAAAGTGAAAAGACATCTAACACTTGCAAGAGATACATATGGTTGAAAACTATAGCCAATGCTACGAATCATTATAGCTAATTTTAGCACATTGGAGAAAGACCTATGACATATCCATTGTAAGCACAGTGTTCAAAGGCTGACAAGATAAATTTATCAAATGGGGAAACATAGATAAATTTATCAAATGGGGAAACATTTTTTTTTTAAGTCCAGTTTGATATCGCTGTCTTGAATTTTTAAAATTAACGTGTTGGATAAGATTTAGATTATCATTTAAAATATTATACAGTAATTTAAAATATGCCAAAATTTTAAGGCACACGAACTTTACTTGACGCTTATTTCAGAAGACAATAATAAATGATTTCAGATTTTAAAATATTTTGTTAATAACAATGTTACCCTCACATATTATATTTTTAGATTTTTCATCCCTTATTCTATTCTTGAAATTAAACGTATTGATGCTACTCTCGAAATTAAATAGATTAATGTACTTTGATTTTTTATTTTTAGTTTACTCCAATTTCTCAAATATTTCATTACACTTTTCTTCTCAAATAGTGTAAATATAAATAATATTCAACAATATATATATATATATATATATATATATATATAGTTCACTCAAGTTTATAATTAATAATCATGCAATGAAACCCTCACGCCATTGTTATGATGCAAATCTACTATATAAATAATATTCAAATAATTAGTGCGTGAATTCTGATCTCCTTCTCATAAATTTTTCATTTTCATAAGTTATTCATTTTATATGTTAATTTTGAAATTTTTATGATAATTTTGACATTAATATCCGTTGTTAAATTGATATATTTCTTTGATGAAATTCATTATTTTATATATATGTTTATATTTTAATATAGTATCTTTTATAATAATATTATGTGTAGAAGATATTCAAAGCTAAAATGTAATATATACAACATTCAGATTTCAGTTTTTGCATTTAACAAACAATCTTAATAAATTAAGTGCTTAAAATTAATACAATATCAAACAAGTTTACAGATTAATATATTCAGTACTTAAAATTTCAGAGCTTAAAATTCAGTACTTGAAATTTTCAGTACTTAATTTTCAATTTTATCAAACAGCAAAGTTAATGAGTAGTCGATAACACTATAGTTCGCAGTTGCGGTATCGATTGCAGTATCAATTGTGGTATAACAAATTTAAACGAATATCGATGTAAATTAATGAAATCAGTTAATTCATAAAAGTGTATAATAGCTTTGAATCCTTAAAAAAATATTACCAATCAATCGACAAATCATGGATAAGGCATACGGTCTTGATGAGCTCCATCTCTTTTCGGTTTTTCTTGACTGGCTGGCTACAATGACATCTCCCCTTTATCATTTTCCAACTACATTCATGACTTATATATATATTGGCTTTTGGTATATAAAGCGTAGACATAATTGTATTGAAGTGGACCGAAGTTGATTTTTTACGACTAGATGCCTTACGCTTTCCAGGCCTTTCGTATGACTTCGGACTAAGAGAATGACAAGTCAACATTATGCAAAACAATATGTTCCATGAGGTAAAAGCCCATAATCAAGGGGCCATTACGGCCCATGATTCTTAGGTACTAGATGGATGCTTGAGCCCGCTCATATTCTTAGTTTCTAGTGTCATGAAAAGTCACATAGAGCGGCTATCGGAGCGGAGTTCAAAAATGATAAAATTTAAATCACATATAATAAGATCGGGAGTAAGAGTCTATGCAGATAATAAGAGTAAGAGCGCACATAGAACGTGAGAGTGACACTCACTTAGATGAATTCTGTGACTTACGTCATGAATTCATCCAAACAAAGTAAGAAAAAATAGAATTTGGTGGTAATATTAACCACGCTTTAAAAATAGCTAAATATGAGAGTGGTACCCGTTTGACCGTCATCTAAATAAAATAAGACAAAATAAATTTTGATGATAAGTAGTAACCAAGCTAAAAAAATAATTGCCAATAAATAACCATGAAACCATATAAAATTGAATATCCAAAATAACCTTCTAATAAAATTAGGACTTTTTGAAAATTAAAATTCCTAATTTTCGTTTCTTTCTATCTTTGCAATCAACTACTGAGCAAATCATGGAAGACCCAATCAAACAGACTCTTTCACCCAATAAAAAAAATCCAAATATCATCACAAGCACTTTTCTCGACTTTATATCACTTTAGAGTAACTTTTTTATTTATTTTTTTATTTTTTATAATTTTGATCACTAAAATTTTATTTTTCTTATAAAGTAATAAAAAAACTAATTTGGTTAAGAAAAGTATAAATTCCATTGAGTTGAGAAATGGACCATTACCTCTCCTTTGCAAATACTAAATAACATACAAGATCTTTCTCTTGCAAGTCAAAATATTGGGGCAAGTGCAAGAAACACATAACTTTCATAGTACTTTTACTCCTTATTTAAAAAGGTGTGCAAAAAATACCCATATTTTTTTGAATTTGTGCAAAAAATTCTCAATTAATATAATGCCCATTTTACTCTTTTACTCTTTCAAAAATACCCCTACCATACTTTTCCCAATCCCAGAGGTGGAGGTTGGCGAACGGCCACCCAAACCATCACCGCCATTAACCCAAAAACCCGGTCCAAAGATCTGCAAATCAACCACCACCGAATTAGCTTTATGTTAGTGATTGCCCGAGATCAAGAGAAACAAAACACCAAACGTAGGTCGGCCACCCCCATTGGGGTCCTCTGACGCAAATAGGGAGAAATAAAGATCCGGAGCTATTCTCTAAGCGGAGTAAGAAGTCTACAGAAAGAGGCAATAACAAGTCTGTCGAAACAATCTTCAAAACAATCTTCAATTCTTTCTTCATATATATAATTTATAAATTTTACCTTCAATTTCAATTTTACATATATACATATAGAGAGAGAATGAAATGTAGAAAGGTACTTACTTGATGGTCTGGTTCAGAATCGGAGGCGTCTTCGTTGTCAGCGATGGTGGAAACTGGGGTAGAGCGGTGTTGGAGGGCTTTGGAGATCTTAAAGTCGATGGAGGTGGTGCTACAACGGGCGTGCTCATCGGTGACTGATTCCGAGAAGGAAGCGAAGTCCCAGGGAGATTGCGATTTACCCAGGGTTTCTTCCTATTCATCTTCTTCTTCATGATTGTATGGTTCATTATCGAGTTCGAGTTCTTCGTCACTGGGAGCTTCGAAGAAGAAATCTGAACCCATGAGAGAGAAAACACAGTCGAGCTCCTCTCTGTCCGTCACTTCGACCATTGCTGTTGGAAAATCGCATCCCTCACTGGACCCATCAAGCTCACTGCCGATTCAGTTCTTCCTTTCCTGCCGTTTCTCTCACTGCCGAGCCCTCCCTTACTCGCCGGACGCCGTTCCGCCCTCTCTGTCACGAACCGTCCTTGTCACCACCGCCCGCCAAATCCATCAACACCGAGCATCTCCTTTGCAGCTGAGACCCTCACCGCCAGCAGGATCGAGACCTTCCTCTTCGAGACTCGAGTGCATCTATATATATATATATATATATATATATATAGAGCAGTGATCTTGCTGTCCATGGAGTAAGAATTCTTCTACACTTTTTACTTTTTATTATACTAACCATTAAATCTAGTGGTCACATTCTAAACCTACTTATACGTTTTTATTTTAATACAAAATCACTATCATTATTTATAATTTTCAAATTTAATATTTACTAATACAATTAATTATAATAATAAAAAGTAAATACTAAAAAAATAAAAATAGGAATCTCTTCGCCTCTCGAAATCACGTCTCACCAATACTAAAGTTGACATTGTTTATTTGAGTGTGCAAAATAAATTAAAATTTACACTGACATACAAAACAATGAAACATCGACTAAAAAAAAATAATAATAAAATTAAAAATAAAATCTCTATTTTTTTATCCACTTGATCAACTTAGTGTAATCTATGATTTGCATAAACTTCACCCATAAAAAATTTAATAGATTATAATTTAAATTATTACATACCTCCCCAAATACATGTTATTTTAAACTAGAAATTCAATCTATTTTTCTCTGACCCATCACAAATTCTAACTACTTGTAAACACATTTCAATTACTCATCATAATAAGTCGCACAATATTTTTTTTTCTAATTATACTATAATAACAAAAATTTATTGACATAAAGACGAGATTCACGACAAAACATGCTATTATTCTATAAAATTTCATATTTCCTTTGTAAATTAGTTGTTTTTCTTAGTATTTTCTTTAATACGGCTATTAGTATACTATCATTATTTTTATTTTTTTAGTAATTATCTTTTATTGTTATAATTAATTGTATTGGTAAATATTAAATTTGGAAAGTAGAAATAATGATAGTGGTTTTATATTAAAAGGAAAGCATTTAAGTGGGTTTGGGATGTGGTTATTATAAAAAGTGCGGAAGATTTTTCTTACTCCATGGAGAGTAAGAGATCAGTACTCTATATATATATATATATGCTCGACGAGTTCTTCATCCCGCCGGAGCTCCCTCCCCTGCCCGCCGTAGCCCCGCGGGCGGCCGCCAAACACCCCAGTATGCTCCCTAAATTGTATCACACTTCTTAAACCAGTGGAAAATGAGATCAGTGAGTGTTGTGATCAGATACCCAATAAAAATACCTATCGTGAATTTGCTCACTCCATGCCCAAATTTTTTCTCCTTTGGTTTTAAAAGTTGAATTTGTAGCCATTCTTGTGAATCAACATTGGGATTGCGTACCAATCAAGCATGCAAATGTAAATGGGATAAACAGATCCTAAAATAACGTGTGTGTATATATATATACTTTATATGTATTATAAAATGTATTGCTAAAGGCATTTTAGTCCATTTTTTTTTTTATAAATATGACCTATTTGCATAAATATCATAGTTTAAGGGTATTTTTTGCACGGAAAGGGTGCAATATGCACCGTAAGCATACTATAAGGGTATTTTTTGCACTTGACCCTCAAAATATTATAACTTTATGTATGTAGTGAAAAATATTTGACCCATCACTTTTAATTAATCATGTTTAAAAAATATTAAACTAATTACTTTAATTCATTCGTTTTAAAAATACATATTCTAATCATTTATTTCCATGAGTATTTAAAAAAAAAAAAAAAAAAAAAAAGTTAACTTTAGTTATACCCCATGAGATTTGTCCAATCTTCAAGGAGACCCTCTCATGTTTGCAAAAATTCAGTCAGACCCACTACTTTTTCAGACACACATCAGTCTCCCCCTTCAGTCAACGTTCAAAGTTGGTCAAACATGCTTTTTGCTGACATCATAAAAAAGGTAAACAATAATGCCCAAATTGCCCTCCAATGATCATGTTTGGCTAAATTGTATATATCACATTTAATTTGGATATAGAATTACGCTATGCTTGTAACCAAACAGGGTTATATTTTATATAATATATATATATATATATGTTTATATTATATATATACGGTAGTTTCCAAAATAAATAAATAAATAAATATATATACATCCACCTTCTTCACCGATGACGGCGCCCAATCCCCATGCTTTACCCCTTTCAGTGCCGGGAATAAATGATTCTCAATGGCTTTGGTTTAGATGGGTGGATCAGATCCTCTGTGGACACGAGCACGGTTCGCGACTTCTCTCGCTGGAGGCGTTGATGGCTCTACTGCTGAGCATGAGATTTCGGCGACAGAGGAGTTGGCGGCGAAGACTAATTCGACGATTGTGAATTCGTTCCAGAAGATTTCTCTCCTAGTTCTTCCACGGAGAGAATCGTACGCCGATAATGATGTCAAGGCTCAGAGCTCCGGGGAGGTATCAGAGGCTCTAGGGTTTGATTTCCAACCGGAGGAGAAAAAATCGGCGAAAAAACTATCACATGAGCTCGTGGAGAGAATCATCTGTTCGTAGAGGTACGGTCGGCGACGGTCTGCATAAGTCAGCCACCCCATCTCTGTTCCCATCAATTCCTGCTCTACCGGCGGAGGAGGATGTCGTGTCGTCTTCCCTTCGGGCATCTACCTAACCTCATCATCTTCCTCATATAAACGTCGTGAGTTCAAAATTTTATTTAATTCTGATCCTAAATCCAAATCACCGTTTCGAGGCTACCAAACATTGCAAGATTTTTTTTTGCTTATCCAATAACAGTTTGCCCATGGAAGAATTTTCGTTTTATTTTGAAACCATTACCCATTAAAACGAATAAATGCAAGATCACAAACATATAATAGTCACAGGTGAAGATCCCAGTCCCAGGAACTTCAAATCAAACAAATTCTTCCCCTTCTAAATTTCAACTATCTGCAGATATGTTGTTTGGTCAAAGCGTATTCGGTGTAGACTTCAACCAAAATCGATGTCTTCACATACGAACGCAGGGTTATATCTCTCTTCACATACGAACGCAGGGTTATATCTCTCTGATATCTCCTCTCTCTGCCTCTCTATCTAGGGTTAGCCGGCAAAATGAAATTGCAAAACCTGAGTTTGGGTTGACGAAGTAAGTGGAATGAAGTGTTTGGCCACTGTGATTACACGGTGTTTGGTTCACAAGATAAAGAAAGCTTGGGTTTAAATTATACAAACTTAGGTTTGGTTAAGTATAGATAGGAAACGACAAAAGGGCAATTTAGTTATTTAATTCATTTATTTGTTTTTGTCAGTCGACAATATTTGATAGGGGGTCTGACTGAATTTTTGTAAAAGTGGAGGTGACCTTAAAAATTGAACAAACCTAAGGAGGTGTAACTTAAATTAACCCCAAAAAAAAACATATTGTTAATAAATCAAAACAGTCGTTTCTTTTAAATTTTGAATATCAGTAATTCGAATAACCAATGAATGAGTACTGCCCAGTAAAAAATTACTCAGAGAGAACAATTAAATTACTAAAAAAATAAATTAAATGGGAGCCGTAATTTAAATAAATAATATAGAGAACAAATAAAAAAGGAAAAAAATAAAAAGAAAAGAATGAGAAAGGTGGTTGGCTAAACCCTAAACCCCAAAAACACAATTGCGCCTCTCTCTCACACATTTTGCTACTCGAAACATATTTTCACACTTCGCAGTGCTTCAATGGCTTCCAAATGCAGCAGATTGGTCAACAGATCGTCTATTTCGTCTCTCAAGTCCGCCATTAAATCGAATATTCGAACAGCTTCGCCTTCAATTGACAGATCTGCTACTTCATCATCTTCAAGGTTTGCTCTTCCCACCAGATCCACCTCATCACCACTCCGCCGCTTTTCCTTGTCCAGGTTACTCTCTATCTGTATATAGTATATGCATATACATATTTATACAAATGTGCAATTTTGTTTTGTTATTATCTCTGAATTGAGCTAACTAAAATTTTGTGTGTATATATATATATGTATTTATATATTTATCTCAATTTTTTCTCCGTTATCTAGATCTGTGACTTATGTCTAACCCCTGTCACAGTCTCACTAGATTGTGATTTTTTGTTTTGGTTTCTAGTCTTGTTCCTCTCAATATATTATATGTGGTTGATTTATTTGTTTATTTATTTTTTTATCTCTGTAACTAAGTAATTAATCCATCTTTTCCTGAATAATGTGTTCAATCCAAAAGCAGAATCATCTCTCTCCGAGACTCTTTTCAATTTTGTTTTCCTATCATTTCTGCTTTGATTTATTTTATTTTTCATAGGAATTTGTGAGAGAAAGGAGAAAAAAAAAGTCAGTTAAAAGAGAAAAAAAAAAGTCAGTTAAAAGAGATAATCCTAAATCAAATAACTAATCATAGGAGAAAATTGATCTAATAAACACACCTAGGTAATGAGCACCTACTCAGATCATGAGATAGTATATGGGGGTTCGTTGAGCTTGGTGCGTGGCTATGACATGTTCCTGTGAGTATCCGGGGCACAAAGCTCAAGGGATCACAGCTGTGCTGTAGCCCAGGGATTCGACTCCGATCTAAGGAACTAGGGGATGCGTTGACCCTTCAGTTCCGGAAGTGTAGACCTGAACTCTAGATATGTTCATATTATCCTATTGTGGACTTTGCATTACAATGCAAGTGTATGCACAATAGTGATGAAGTACGCCATGAGGTAGTAACACTACAAGTGGCCTGATTTCGGGAAGCAAAGGATTCTTATGGAGTGTTGGCTTGAATCAAGGGTATGTTAAGGTGTGACTTGGGACCATGTATGGATATCAAGAATAAGGACACATGCCCTGGTTCTCACCTTTCCAAGAGATATTGGTATCCTTGATAAAGCTTAGTTGTTTGTTTTGTCAAGGTTCTCCTTCCAGATCATTACTGAACCCTCAACAGCATTTAATTTAATATGTAAAGTTTACCGAATTGAAAGCAGATCTCTCTCTTTCTTCTTTTTGATATTCTAGATTTTTAGTAGATTGTTGTGTTGTCACCAATTACTGATTTCCTTTTGTTTGGTCAATAGATCTCCATCAGAGCTTGGATGTGTTCAGTCTATGTTGCCTCTACACAGTGTGGTAGCTTCAGCAAGGATGACTTCGTGCCTGAGTACAACTTCGAGGAGTTGCAGAGCTCTTTCACAGGGTACACTTTGTTGCACCTCTCCCGGCCTCTAATATTTTTTGTTGTTTGAGTGTGAGTCACAGCTTCTCCTTCTATAAATATGATATAATCCTGATCTAGCTTGGAAAGTTTAATTTATGGTTTCATTTGTGTCTATAGTGTTTGTTTAAAACGTGTTTGAATTTAATATTTAATGGTGCAGTTAGGTGCCTAGATTCATAGGTGTAGTAGTTTGTGAAGGCTCTTAGAATATACTAGCTATATGCACTCCTGTGGCTGTTGTACACCCTAAAGTTGATGCTTAAAGTCATGTGCATGAGTCATTGTTTTCTGCGAGCCGTATTGCCTAATAATATGTGAAATGTTGTATGATAAATTTAGTAAAATCATAAAAAAAAAATCAATCATTGAAATTTTCCAGTGAGACAATGAAATGGGTATCATAATTTACTAAAAATTTGAGTGTAAAAGTAGGGAATTTTCCGGGGTGAAAGTGCATTAATCTGACTAGAATATTTGGTTCTGCAGGCACATGAGTTTCCCTTTTGTTGAAAGAAATATACTGGGATTTGACAAGACCTACCAAATATGATTCAGTTCGTCATTCTCAAGTATGAATACTCTATTAACAGCCTTAAAAGTTTTCAGTTACATGTCTGGGTAGATTAAATAAAAGACTACTATAGAGTTTCCTTCAATTTTCCATATATTTTGACTGTATACACCATTACCCACTTATTTATCTGGATGTTAATTGAGCATCCTCTAAGTTTGAGATGTTAGTTTTTTTTCTTTTCCTTTCATGGGAATTAATGAAATTTCATAAGGAATGGTACTTTACTTCATTGTTTGGGTTATCTGATTCCTGTTATACAAGCGTATTGCTACTCTGGAGTAGTTCTTTCCTTTTAGCACCTGATCAAACCATTGAACTCCTTGAATGTAGCCTAAACTTCTTTATAGACCATAACTGGATATTTCTTTTCTGATAGTATTCTGGCAGGATTATTATTTGGATGATTGTTTTTGTAGTGCTTGGATAGCAGAATCATTATTTGAAAGAAACAGGTCTAGGTGGCCAATGGATTTTCAGTGAACTCAGAATTCTTTTATAATAATAGATTATCAAGTGCCTCATCAAATCAGTTGGAATAGACCTATCTATAATAAGAAATATGTGCCTGGATCTGAATTCATGAGAAATCATAAGTTGTCTTCTATTAAAAAAGAGAGGATAGTTATAGGCTAGGAAGCACGGACACTCCAAAATGGGCGAAGAATCCGTGTCCGACACGTGTCGGACACGCCAAAAAACGTGTCTGGAATTTTTTTATTTTTTTTAATTTTCGGACACGGCTCGGACACGGCTCAGACAGCTCGGACACGGCTCGGACACACTTTTTTGGAATTTTTTTTTTTTTTTTTTAATGCTGATATGTTAATTTTTTTTTAAATTTTTTTTTTTTTTAATGCTGATATGTTCTATTTTTTGTTTTGTACTACCCTAAAGATGCTGATATATATATATACTAACCTAAAGATGCCACAATTCGCCGTGTCCATGTCCTAAAGATGCTGATATATATATATACTAACATATCAGTGATATATATATATATTCCAACCTAAACATATCAGTGTTTTTTTTTTTAAATTATTAATGCTGATATATATATACTATTCGCCGTGTCCATGTCCTAATTTTTTTGGATTTGCCGTGTCGCCGTGTCCGTGTCGTGTCGTGTCGTATCCGTGTCCCGTATCCGTGTCCGTGCTTCTTAGGTTATAGGGTTTTTTTTTTAAAAAAAAAAAAAATCTAAAATACCGTCATTGTAATTTACTAGCTATCTTATTCGTCAAAGTCCAAATGTTTTTAATTTTTACGAACTTAAATGTGCACTTAGATGTTGTTTTGGGGTTGAGAGGGCTTTAGGAGGGAAGGTAGACTGTTTCTTGACAAGCTTGCTTTGCCTACATTTTACATCATTATGTCTACAATCATTATGCACCATGTGACCTGCTTGTGGTCAGACTTGGGTATGAAGCATCCGTCATGCTCTGTTGCAGCTGATCACCAATCTTGTTCTACAAATTGTTCTTATTTTCTCAAGTTCAAGCCTTCAAGGGTATTTAAGAATTTTCAAGGCTTTAGAAATTGTGCTTCGCCTGCATTTGAGGAAAAGTCAAACAGACAAGACTGTTCCATATATCTTCAGACCAAAGTAGTAGAGTAATTTGATACTACTTTTTGAAGTCACCGAAACATCTTTAAGAAGTTTGGTCCCTTCTAGCTCCGGCGGGAAGAGCTTTCAAAAGCCAAAAGCTTTTCAACTGAGCAATCCAAACACTTTCCAAAATGGTTTTTTTGGCTCTAAAGCCTAAAGCAACGTTTGAAAAGCCATTGCAAAGAGTAACTATATAAAAGAAAGTTAGCAGTAGGGTAAACATCCCATTAGCACCTAGGAAAAAAAAGCATCACAATATCTTCCATAGCCTTTATTCACAATTGTGTAAAATGGTGTCGGCATGCCGTGAAATAAATCATCTTAGGATTATGCCTTGTTAACTGTGCACAGAGAAAAGTAGAAAACTTGATTGGGCTATCATAGTTGTCAAATACGATGCGATATGCTTGTGCCACGTATCCCAGCCAAATTCAACCTATTCCTTTGAGTTCAGGACAGCACATTATAGGTGTTAAGCTGAGTCATTTTCTCTGATGATGCCTCGATATAATCACGGAGCTGTGTGGTTTTTAAGCATTTAGTTCATCTGTATCACGTGATTTTCCTTTTAAAATTCATGATTCCTCTTAGTTGGGCTGATGGGGCATCTATACAGGAGAGAAAGAAAATGAGAGAAGCAAAACCAGATTTCTTTAAGTGTCCATTTTAGTTTAAATTTGTTGTGTTGAGTGATTATATATAGTAATAAAAATAGTATGGTAACGAGACTGCTCCTTTTCCCAGATGAAATTGATGGAACGTGAGAGATTGTGCTGTTTCTGGAGGTGGGTCACATCATCTATGCTCCAACTTGTCTTGAAAGGATTTTCACACTACTCATAGATCATGTCTCGAGATGCATCATTAATTGAATACATATTTAGCCATTTGTGCAATATCTTGGAAGCGAAATGATTTGAATGCTGATAAAATGAGGAGCGGGTTTCTATCTTTCTTTTCCTATTTTCATTGATAATTATCACATAGAAGCTGCATTTGTTGAAATTGCTTTAGTCAGAGTGGTTTTTTACTTGTATTGGTTTTCTTACACAAGTATCTTTTGTTTGATGAATCAGAGCTTGGTCTGTCAGTTCCTAGGTGATATTGTTGTTAGCAGATCATCTCATGAGGAGGAGAAATCTTCAATTGATTGGAAAATCAAGGTTTTGTAATTCGTCCCAGGAAAATTCTGTCAATTTATAGAAACTGCTCTAACATTTTACATAGCAGTAAAAGTAATGTTGATTCTTTACATCTCAGATGTTGTTTTGTGAAAATAAGTATGAAGAATTAGCTTATTATTATTAATTTTATATGCTTTCTCTTACTTCGTGGGCTATTTTTTCCTCGTCTGAAATCCTTCATTGCCTGATCACTTCAACTATTTGAATTGGCTTTCATATTTGTCTAGTGTTAATCCTGCAATGGATTAACAAACTCCATGTTAGAGATGAAATACCGGCAATACAACTGAAGTGACTTGACAATGTGAACCGTATCCATTTGGGTTTTTTTCCGGATGCATTTTACTTTTAAAAAATCCAGAGCTTCTCTCTGTTAGATACTTGTTTGCATATCTTCTAAGTATCGAATTCCATAAGGAGTGCTAAGCATTGTCGAGCAACCTTCACTGTTCGATCTTGATCGTCAGAGCATGCAGGTTTCACAACGAAGTTCATGTGATTCTGCGACTCCGATCACACAATTGCAACTTTGCTTATCATTTCTCTTTCAACATAGCCACTTTTCCTTGCATGTCAATCAAGTAATTTGTGATGAGTTATAACACAAGCGAGAGTCCTTATCATTAGATTATTTCCTCTTTGGGTTTGATAACAGGACTTTGAACTCTACTCACTAGTGTAGGGACTGTTTGGTATGTGTTTTTATTTTTGATGTTCTTACTTTTTGTCGGGTAGTGTAGCATTAAATAGTGAAAAAAATGCATTTGGTAAAAAATATTTTGTTTTGCACAATGCCGAAACGTTTCATGTTGCCAAAAATCAAAACACTAATTTTTGAATTTTTACGTGTTGAAACACGTAGCAATGGATATTGTAGTGATGAACAGTAAAAAAAATTAACCATTATATTTTTCAGACTTGCAATATTTTTTTACCAAACATATTTATCTTGCAACATACGAAGGTTGCCGAATATACTTTGGATGCCGAATATACTTTGGATTATTGTTCAAAACAATTGCAATACTTGTTTTTGTTGCTACCATCATTTTGATTGACATAACAATAGACTCTGTTTAATAGGCCCAATCTACCAATCCAGATTCCACTGTGTTGTGGGCCTAAGACAATCAGCGTACAAACTGCACAAGACATTTTCTTTTGAGATGATACGGAGGGGGTATCATTGTTTTCTTGATTAAGAAACATTTGGAGTGGAAATACTTTTCATTTTTCAGAAGTATACAACAAGATATTTTGACACGTGGTATCATCTTAATGAAAGCTCCACATTTATCTTTAAAAGGGTAAAATGTAAAAAATCCCTCTTGACCCCCCTAAATTAAAGATTGTCCCTCTAAATTATTGATTTGTTGCAATTAAGGACAAACCCATCACAAAAGCCTATTTTATCCTTTGCTATTAAATTTGCTATTTCTTATTAAATTATTTTTTATTAATTTTTTTCTTATTTAAATATTAATTATACCATTTACTTTAATTTTATAATTAGTATCAATTGATTATAAAAATGAAAAAATAAATAACTCGGTAGCTATCATTTTTTAAAATGATTAACTTATTATAATAAAACTAATTATACTCACTTTAAAAAAATTTAATATAAAAAAATATCTTCTTTTTCAAACAATATTCATGAAAAATTAATAAATTATGTAAATAAAAAATATCTTCTTTTTAATGCAATATATTCATGAAAATTAAGAAATTACTTAAATTGTTTCAAAATTTTCTATTTAAGATTTTTATTTAAATAATTAATTTAAAAAATTAAAGGCAAACTTATGCAAATTTAATGGAGAATATTTCATCAAATTAGTATGAATTTTTTTATAATTTATTTTAACAAGAAAATATATCAAGTGTAATTCAATAAGAAAGGGTATTATGGTTATTTAATGAAAAATAGATAAGACAATGTGACATTTTGCAACTAAATGTGATAGTTTAGGGGATTTTGTGCACAAAATATAGTTGAAGGAGGTTATTTAAAAATTTCGACATAGTTGAGTGAGGTTTTTTTGCACTTTACCCTCTTTAAAATCCCTACTTCCTATCACCAAGAAAATTGAGAGTCCCCGTGTCAACATACTCCCGAAATATTATATACTTTCCCCTCATTTTGTTAGTTTAAAATGGTAAGATATGCTTGTAAAGAAATTCAATAATTCCAACATCAATACCACAATTATGTTTTTCATTTCAAACTAAAGCAATTACAAAAAAATATACAATACCCCATAAATATTTTACACATGACATTCTTATTCAATAAACAATCATAGAAACTCTCAATTTACCATTTGATTTATTTATACAGGAGAGATGGTGCAATCTTTATAAGAGAGAGAGTGCAATCTTTGTATGTGTGTAAGGACTCATGCCTTGTACAACATGGACATCTTATAATTGAATTTGTTCCTTATATTTATGATTTTTTTTTTTTTTTTTTCCTTTTATCTAAATAATGTCTGATCAAGCTTTCAAGCAAAATACTTGAAAAACAGCCTCTTAGGGAAAGTGCAAGTTAACTATTGAAGAAACTATACTTTATTTTACAAGCAATACACCCAACAAACTTACAAAGTTTGGGTGTGAGTTCGATTCTCCTCTAACACTGCAAGTTTTTGACTTACTTGTTACTCGGTAGCCGGGGATTTACCTGATAGCTACAAGTCCAAAGGGCTAGTTGCGAGGGTTCCCACGTCATCACACACACACACACCAAAAAAAAAAAACTTTATATAGCTGCAAAAGCTGCAAATTGTAGCTTCCTATACACACACATTGAATGGTGGTGTGTGTTTTCGGAACAGAGTGTGTGCCTTTAATTTATAAATAACCATGTACTATTTATAGCACACAATTAGAAATTAGGAGAGATTTCCTCCGAAACTACTGGTAACTGGTGAGGGAGACAATATTGGCAGCAATTAACTAGGAGATAGACAAATTGCGTTCATGACACAGAGACAACCATTCAAGTTTTAGTCTTTCAAATCAAAGCAAAACAACCATTTAATAACCCTCTACAAAATTAATGCTGATAAAGAAGTGAAGAAAAAGAGGTTTGTAACCAACAAAATGCCTACCTTATTGACAATTGAATAACAACACATCTTTAAAGGCCAATTAAGGGTCAGTTTCCTTCTGAAAATGGCCAGCAGAAAAAAACTGGTATATAGAGAGAGGAATGAGGCTTTACCATTGGAATATAAGCTGAATTGAGGAAAAACGCACACACAAACACACACACACACACACACACACACACACACACACACAAACAGAGGAGTGAATGATATCTGAATGCAGAAAAGAGGGGAGGGAAATAAAAAGGAGAGGGAGAGAGGGTTTCATGATCATCCAAAAGCCTATCTTGGAGGAACAAATAATGGGAGGAACCTCAAAAAGTGAGGTTGTTGTTGAAAATATAGTAATAATAGGAGGATTGATAGGGGTGCAATTTATATATGCGGGGAACTCAGTATTGCTGAGTTATCTCATGTCCTTGGGCCTCAAACCCCATTCTCTCATCATTTTGACTACCTTTTCCACCTTCCTTGTTCTCTCTCCTCTCTGCTTTTATTATGAAAGGTTCTCTCTCTCTCTCTCTCTCTCTCTCTCTCTCTCTATATATATATATATATATATATATATATATCCATCTTGTTTATGGGATGGGAGACACAAAAGTTGATCATTTCTCTATGTGTTGCAGGAGTAAATGGCCCAGACAATTCACCATAAAGTTGTGGATTCAACTGGTTTTAATATCTTTTGGAGGGTAAGCAAAATTATATATATATATATATATATGTATATATTCAATATTTTAACTTAGTTTCTGTATGAATTCATTTTTATTATTCATGTTATGGAAAAAGTGGGTTAAAAAGGAATTACATTAGCTACTTGTGTTGCTTTTCTCTGTTTCGGCATAATGCATGAGTCAAAACACCTGTTGGTGCCATCATGGCTAAATATATCTGACCTATGCGCGGTGTTGGAACCTTATATTTGGTATTTATTTTGCACAAAGCGACCACTCATAAACTTGAAATCACGATCATTGCACAGCAAGACTACGTGCTATTCGTAGTAATGTTGAAGTTAATTAAGAGATCTCTTTGAAAATGAGAGAAATCAAAGAGTTGAGTAGGTAAAGAGTTAACAGCAGCTAAATGTGGAGGGCTATGGAGAATAAGAGTGCTAAGTGTAAGAAATGAAATTTTGGACGTTCTTGTGACCATCAAATGAATTTCACTAGTTATAGGATTCAAAAGTTTCAAGTGTTTCATTGTTAAATTTGACCCAAAAAAAAAGGGAATTATAAAAGATAATTAATCAATGAAGTAATATTTCTTTCATGGTGTTTGTTTCTCAGGGTAACAATGTTCCAGTCTTTGTTCGTAAAGGGGATCAGTCTAACTTCACCAGCAGTGGCAACTGCTATGCCAAACCTTGCCCCGGGGCTCATCTTCCTCATTGCCTGGACTTTTAGGTACAATGTGTTACTCTGTAGTACTCTCTCTTGTTACCAAGAAAATTAATCAATAAAGTAATATTTCAGAACCTTTAATCTAACATGCCTGATAAAATTATCTAAACTTAATAGCCCTCGTTAGGGTAATTGTATCATTCAGTTTAATCAGGATTAACTTTCAAGAAAATTTAGTGACAGTTGGAAATGTCAAATTGATTTAATTTAAAATGTTTGGCAGTTATCAAAATTCAGCTGCACATTTGGGAAGTCCTATTAGTTGGTTAATTAAAAATCAAAACAGAAAATCCAATGTGTGTTTGTGTGTGTACCAAATTCATAATTTTTTTATTTTTCAGAAAGGACTATTTTTGTTTAAGTTTAGTTTCAGAATGTCCTAATTGACAATACACTATCATTTTCTAGATGTTAATTTCCCGGGAAAGCTAAAGTCAATTCATCTATCATTTTCTTTTCCTGATGCAGATTAGAGAGAGTAAAACTAGCTTGCATGTACAGCAGAGTGAAGATTGTAGGCACACTTGTGTGTGTCATGGGTGCTATTACAATGAGCATTATGCACAGTGCCACGGACATTTCTGCAGCGAAAGAGGCTCAGTTATTGGATTCTATAGCTCGTGATGACACGTTCGACGAAGAAAAGATCATTGGCTGCGTGTATCTAATGGCAGCAGTCCTTATGTTATCGAGCAACGTGGTCTTGCAGGTAGAATCTTAAACGAAGAAGTGAAAGATCGTGGATCTTGTCTTGAAGTTTTCTTTGTTTTTCCATTGTTTTTCTCTAATTTTGATGCTTTGCAGGCTACTACACTAGGCGATTTTCCGGCACCAATGTCCTTGTGTGCAATAACATCTTTCATAGGTGTGATTTTAATTGCAATTTTACAGTGGATTCAAGAAAGGAGAATTGAAACTGGTTGGCCTATTTTGAGTGTTCCACAGTTGATTGGCTATTCTTTACTGGTACAATACCTTCCCTCCTTTTTTTTCTGTTGTTCTTTCTTTTTTTCAAAAAATTAAAAAAAAAAAAAAAAATGTAAAAGAAGAGAGTTTTTCTTGCAATAGTTGCATGAAAGTAGGAGAGAATTCATCAGATTGTGTTTGGATATAGAAATACACATTTATATACTTATACAAAGACAAAATTGCAAATATATTGTATTGTGTGTTATGTCTATTCATGGTTATTGTATGCATGAAGAAGATGGAAGCAACAAACTAAGTTTTCAAGCTAGTGTTAATTGGCATACAAATTGACAAATGAAAAGAAGTGATGAATCTAAAATGATATTTAACCAGTTATCGGTTTTATCTAATCGAAAATTCTGTAATTTTTTGGATGAACAGGGGGGCATGGTCAATGGGACTTGTGTAAGCTTCATCGGATGGGTAATGAAGAAAAGAGGACCGGTGTTTGTGTCCATGTTTAACCCCGTTGCAACTGTCATCTCTGTACTCCTCTCTCTCTTTACCTTAGGGCAATACATTTCTCTTGGAAGGTACATTAACTAGTCTTCTTACCAATACACACACACACTCCTATATGTATAACTTAGAATTCTTATGGCAATTAGCCTCTCTTAATGCAGCATTTCTGGTATTTTCCTCATGTTCACCGGTCTCTATTCCGTGCTATGGGCTAAAGGGAAAGAAGGTTACTCCATTGCAGATGAAGGTGACTTTGATAGTGAGGGCGACGTGGAGAAGCCTCTCTTGAACTAATTTAATTTGTATATATGAATTTTTGTCATTCAGTTGGTATATTCGAGAAAAAAAAAAAAAAATTTGAAAGTTAGAAGAAGCTAAATATAGCTTGTTGGAGCACATGATTTGTTTGTGTGTTGATGGTATAGCTAGTTATAGTGCACCATATAAATGGTGAATGATGCTTTTATAGAATGTCTGTAAACAAGATAGGAAATGATCTAATGAAGAGAATAGCTTTCGACAGTGACATGTTTTACTCAAACTTCCACATACTAATGATCTGTTTGGTGGTGTGGTATGGCATGCTAGATTCTAATATGAAAACTTACTTCAAAGCTATGTTTGGGACCACCGAATTCGCGCCTTGAATTTGGAATTGGAAGAATTTAGTTTAGTGCTCCCAAACGCAACATAACTGTATTTGATGACAAAGAAAAAGAAAAAAAAAAAATATATATATATATATATATATATATATATAGGGTACTTTTTGGTGGCAGAGAATTTAGGGTTACAAACCTTTTGGTTCAAAGTTGGTGCTTTCTGAACTGTATTTGTGCTTTAGGTATAAAATTGAAGCAAGAAGTTCATTTTAGAGTGTCTACGAAACTTCCTACAGTCAGAACATTTCTTATAGTTTTATAGTAAAAACTAGTAAGTGCTTCACAAGAAGTTACAACATCAAACAAGCATACACACACACACACACACACACACACACCTTGGGGGTCACTCTCAGGGATTTTTCTTAGTAATTGTCCGATATAATGTGTGACGGGGGATTGCATGTGTCCGATGGTGAATTATGGAATGCTCTAAGAGGGCCGACATCATTATAGTCCAGAAAGAATATATATATATAATCTAAGAGGCCCGACACCATTATAGTCTAGAAAGAATATATATATGTGTGTGTGTGCGTGTGTGCGCAATGCAACAAAATATATATTAGTGTTAAGGCGGTAACATGTTGAAATCTGCACATCAAATCATTGATATTGAAGTTGTATAGTTTGCTCCAAGAGGAAGAAGTCTAAAGAAGTGGAGCAACTTTTTGTTGATCGTATAAATTAAAGTTTGATTCAGAGCAAGTACTTGCATGCAGATCAATCCCCTAAGCCAGATTGTCCAAAATGGTGTTTAATGAAGAGAATAGCTTTCAACTGTGATATGTTTTACTCAAAGTTCCACGTACTAATGATCTGATTGGTGCTGTGGTGTGCCATGCTAGATTATAATCTGAAGCTATGTTTGGGAGCATGGAATCCGCGCCTTGAATTTGGAATTGAAGGAATTTAGTTTAGTGCTCCCAAACGCAACATAACTGACGAACCAAAAAATAAATGAGTACTTTTTGGTGGCAGAGGATTTAGGGTTACAAACCTTTTGTTCCAAATTTGGTGCTTAGGTTAAAATTGAAGCAAGAAGTTCATTAGAGTGTCCACGAAACTTCTTACAGTCAGAACATTTCTTAAGTTTTATAGTAAAAACTAAGAAGTGCACAAGAAGTTACAACATCAAACAAGCATACTTATACACACACACACACACATATCTTTGGGGACACTCTAAAGAAATTTTCTTAGTAATTGTCCAATATAATGTGAGATGGGATTGCATGTGTCTTGTGGTGAATTATGGGATGTTTTGAGAGGTCTGACATTATTATAATCGAAAAAAAATGTATGTGCATATATATGCAAAACTACAAAACAGATATTAATATTAAGGCAGTAACATGTTGAAATCTGCACATCAAATCATAGATGTTGAAGTTGTAGAGTTTGCTCCAAGAGGAAGAACTCTAAAGAAGTGGAGCAAAATGGTGTTTAACTGTTAAATTGGCCTGACTTCATATTTAGTTGGTCTCACAATTTTTAAGCAAGTCTAATCCAACAAAAGCAAATTACTACTGGTTTACTTTACAAGATTCTACTAGTTGAAAAGGGTTTGATTCTTCATGAATTCATCAGGTATTTTAGTTTATTCTCTAAATTGAATCAAATCAAACCATGTACTTATTATATATAACAAGTTTTTAGAAAAAGATACAACTGTTTTCTGGTTAAAACTTCGATTAATTTGATTGAACAGTGCACAATATTAAAGTAATATTTATTTTAGTGTGTGTTAAAATTTTGGTTTAATAGGTTGATCTTTCTTGAGATTTGGACAAATTGCATATGGGTATAATATTTTAAGATTATTACTTTGACGTCTATTAAAGTCGTTCGTTTACAACCGAAAAATAACTTTGATTATAAAAAGTTAATAATGTCCTTATATTATAATGATCTATTATATTGCATTTTATACGAGGGAATGACAAAATATATATATATATATATATATATATATATAAAATTTGGTCAGTTGGTTAATTGAAAGAAAACGCTAGAGGTGTCATTAAGCACGCTTGTCAAATTTTTTGGGAGATCAAAATAATAAACGCTAAATTATCCACTATATGTAATTTGTCCAAACCTTAAAGGCTCAATATAATTTACTTTAAAATGTTTGGTCAAAAAAGTGTTATTTGTAAAATCAAATAAATGTCATAAGATTTCAATTGAATACTGCAAAGAATACATTAAAAATAATAATAATAATAATAATAAATAAAAAAAATTGCTTATGAAAAAAAAAATACATAAAAATTAGTGGTTGTAACTTGTAACAAAATTAATAGAGGGAAAGGTAAATTTAGTGCACGAAATTTTTGTTGTTACAGTCTAAAGAGGGTCACAATAGAACAATTTTATCTAAAACTTACCCTCTTGTAACAAAATTAATAAAAGAGAAAATTGATTCAACTTCTCGCGGCACATGTTTTTATCATCATTTATGAATGCTCACTTACGTAATATTTCATATTAAGTTTCAAACGTCCATCAAGATCAATAGTCTAAATAATATCTCCTCAATTTTTTAAGATAGTAAAAAGCAAAAAATTCAAGTCTGGTTAAGAACAAAATATGTGTGAGAATTTCTCATTATATATATATATATATATATTTTAAAAAGAAAAGTTTCGAAACTTAATTTAAGTGGCCCTGCCTTCCCTTTTTAAAGCTCTATTCAAGCTATAAAATCCTATACTTTAGTTACAACAAACCCAACAATTTTCTTGACTTTCACTAGTCAACCAAGTAATATTTTGATGATATGAATTTATTCAATGAAATCTATCCTTCATAAATGTTATTTATTGAATTTTATTGAAAGTAATTAATTACCTGGCTGAAGATAAGGACACCTGATCTGTAAATTCCATTATTTATTTAGTACTTCAACAAGTTTGTGAAAGTGATTTAGTTTAAGCACAGTAACTAATTAATTGTTTATAAAAAATATAAATACAAAAATACATGATTTTGTAAAAAATAATAATAATAATACAAAATTGATATGCAAAGTGTTGAGTAAACACAATGCTAGAAAGAAAAAAATATTAGGTCATTGCACTAATGTTGCATTTGGTGTGCGAGATTGTTCATTTCAATCATTTCTTTATATGGTGTGTAATTTAAAGTGGGAATGACCCTTTTATTGAAATGAAAATTCATTACATAACTAAACCTATGAGATGATCATTCTATTCTTAAATAAATTTAAATCAAGTTTATGTTCTAAGTTCAAAAACCACCACCAACCTCAAAACCACTGTCACTGTCACTGCCTTTCACCACCACCGCTACCTCCATCGCCTTCCACCAACACCACTGTCGTCCACCACCACCACATACACCACTAATGCTTTCGATCTACATCTACCACTATTTTCGTCGCCATCAAGCAGCACCACCTCCTCCACCACCACCACCACCATTTCTTTTACAAAAAAAATTAAAAAAGAATGTTATTTTATTAATTTAATTTATTTATCACTAAGAGATACATTTTGAAGAATATAATTTAAATTCATTTCATTCTAAATTTTAAATTGGTACAACCAAATATTAGAATGATTATTAGAATATAATTTAATTCCTACACATTTCATATTTGCAACCAAATAATAGAAAGAGAATGATCATTCAATTCCATTTCATTCTCATTCCATTCCCACTTGTATTTTATTTCATTTCAATCATGCACACCAAACAATAATGTCCCCACAAATTAGTGATACTCCTAATTTGGAAAAGTTAAAATTTATACTTTCCTTTTATAACAAGCTTATTCTAATTTTAAATAAAGTGTTCAAAAAAAAAAATCCCATAAAATCAGTGGACTCATGAGTGTTGATTAAAAAGGCTAATTTTAGTGCCCTCATTATATTTTATTAACTATCATTATATTTATCACTCTGGAAATTGTACAAAAAAATTTGAATGAGTGAAAAGGAACACAGTACAAAGTTAGCGTCCCCATTCAAAGAGCAATAAAGCTGTGAAAAAATTTAATTAAATGGGCAAGATTTGCATGTTACTTGTCTCTCTTTCTCCGCTCATAGTCACACTTTATTAATTTTTATTTACTAGTTTGTTGTTTCTAAAATAAAAAATAAAAAAATAATTTATTATTTATTTATACATTAATTAACAACCACTATATGTACCAATTTCATGTACCAAAACGTATTTTTGGGTTGTGTGTGTCTTTTGGTGGAGGAATGCTTGTCACCTACTCCTTTCAAGTTCCCACTCCTCTGTGCTTCTCAGACTTCTTCCTAGAGAGAGAAACAGAGCTAGAGAGAGAAACAGCTTAAAGCTTTGATCTTTAGGTTGTTTAATCTTCTGGGTTGTGAGTGAATGGAGAGACACAAGTGTAAGATTTGTACTAGGAGTTTCTCTAATGGTAGAGCTTTGGGTGGTCACATGAGGTCTCACTTGACCCTCCTAACTGTACCACCAAAGATCAAGCAACACCACCACCAACTCAGTGGGTGTACTGAGTCAGCTTCATTTTTGGTATCTTCTTCAGAGGAAGAGGAGAGAGAGAGCGAAGATAAATCTTTGGCTTATGGGTTGAGAGAGAATCCAAAGAAGAGTTTTCGGGTGGTAGATCCTGAATTTTTGGATGCTGGGTTGGTTGTTCAAGACAGAGAGAGCGAGACCGAGTCAACCCGGAACCCGACTCGGCAGCGATCCAAGCGGACTCGGAAGGCGGGCGTTGAAGAAAATCAAGAATTGGAGAAACCCAAGTTGAAAAAAGTAAAACCCAGTTCAACCGAGTCAATGGCCGAGGTGGAACCGGTGAGTTCCGTCTCCGACACATCCCCTGAAGAAGATGTTGCTCTGTGCCTCATGATGCTTTCAAGGGATTCGTGGAGCTCTGACCATGACTCGGGCGAGTTGAAGCCGAGTCAGAAGCCGGCGAGTCAGGAACCGAGTCAGGGTCTGGGGAGGTACCAGTGTGAGACATGCAACAGAGTGTTCAAGTCGTTTCAAGCACTGGGTGGACACAGAACGAGTCACAAGAAAGCCAAGAATGGTGAGTCAGGGGCAGTGAGACGTGTTGGGTCAAGCAATGTGGATCAGAAAGTTCATGAGTGCCCATTTTGTGGAAAAGTATTTGGGTCAGGTCAAGCCCTAGGTGGGCACAAGAGATCACACTTCTTGGGCTCATCATCAATAACAACAGCCAAGTTTGGTGACAGTTTGGTGGTGGACACAAGTAATTCTACTAACTTTGGTGACAGCAATTTAATAGATCTCAATTTGCCAGCTCCAATGGAAGAAGATGAAGATTTTAACCAACTAGACATTTCTGCTATCTCGGATGCTGAATTCATCAATCCCAACAAACATTGACCACCCCATTGATGATTGATCGTAACCATTGACAAAGTTGAGAGGTTAAATTAGTACCCTTTTCTCTCTCTTTCTTGGTCTACACACATTGGATATGTGATTTTGGACTATTTTAGGGTATTATGGGCAATTTGGTCAATTGGGTTAATTGGGTTACCTCTATTTTATAGAATTTTTTTTTTTTTTTTTTTTTTTTGTTGAATAGATCATTCAATGTCTTGTAGCTTTTGGAGTTGTTGTTTCTTTGGTTGTTGTAATACATTGCATTGAAAATTTCACAAGTTGGTGTGTTAATAGTTAAAAGTACTAGCTGCTACAGTGGGCCGCATCTATTAGTGGAAGAGACCAATGACCAGTAGCGTAGAACTTATTCAAAGTTCACTCCATTTCTAGTAGAGTAATATATATATATATATATATATATATATATATTTGGTGACTCTGTAGATAAGGGATCTCTTACCCTAGACGAAAAATTCATATAAATTAGAGTTTTAGAATTGAAATCGAAATAGGTGAAATTAAAGAAAATGACGGGAAAGATGGCTTCTCAACAGTGCAGTTGCGGTATAGTTCTCAAGTGAATATTGGTTTAAATATAGGTCACGGATTCAAGTGAATATTGGTTTAAATTGACTTATTTATGAAAGTTTGTAAAGGTATTAAAGATTACGAATTCGTATTGGCCAATATGACGAACTATAGCAGAAACCAGATTGTATTGAAACCTGACCTGACATGGTTTGGACAAGTCTAATTGTTAAAAAAACATATCCCAGATTAAATGATATGGGTGTCAAAGTTGGTGTTCAAAGGGTTTGGATTTATATATGTGTGTGTGTGTGTGTGTGTGGATTTATGTGTTTGAATAAGTATTTCGAGCTTTGCTTGTGGCACAAGAACCTGACTCAGAAAGTACTAAAGGTTCTGTTAACAGGTTCTGTTTCCTGTCTCCAGCTTTTCTTTGTGAACTGTTTTATGTACTTGTTTCCTCTTTTATTCTCAAAAAATGCTTCAATTTATTTGTTTATTTACTTTCCTATTATCATCCCCTTTGTTTACCAGAATCTTATGAAATGACAAAAAACAACCTCAAAGGGCATCAAATTTACTGTTCTGGAGTTGGCCGGTAAATAAATAAAAAATTAATGGCCTTGAACTCAACGAAGAAACAGGCAAAAGATTGTGTCATGCAACTCTTATTGAGGAATCAGTCACTTTTATTAAATTCTCTAATGAATGAAATAAATGAATTTTCTATTATTTTCTTCAGTTCATATTTGTTGAATGGTGTTAGAAGGGCATTTTAGTAAAAAAAAAAAAATAGTTTTAGGTCGTTTTCTTTCGTACTTGTCTATTATTGTTAAAAGGCAATTTTGCTTTGTTATGGTATTGATTAGTGCTCATTAATTGTCCTCCATTCACTGTTAGGTTGGTTGTGTTTTTCTTGCCAGTATTTAAGAGTAGAAAAAAAGTGAAAATGAGATTTGACCTGAGCAGTCAATCATCACTTTTTACTACGTATAAATACTGAGACATGATTTACACTGTCACTATGTCTTTTGATTCGTAATTACGATATTCCTGATTATAATGTAACGAATTTGAATAAATATTAATATAAATTGATTCATAAAAAATTGTAATAGTATCACAAAAATATTTCGAACTCATCGATATGTCACGTATTAAATAATATGACGATTGACGAAACATGTTTCATATCAAATTTTATTTTAGATTAATTTTTCCACCTCCATTCCTCTCAAACTCATTAATAGCTTGTTTCGGTGACATATCAAGCGCCCAATCTTGAGGCGTCCCACTAAATATCTCAAAGAAGACAACAGTATAACCCAACTGTAACAAGTGCATTGCGAATTCGACAAAACAACCTTACACTTATCTCATAATAAACCTACAATAAAAATAAGTAATAAAACTTGACAAATTATAGGAACTAAATAGAAAGTCAATGTAGGGATTGGAATAATGTCCTTTTCAAACTCAATATATATATATATATATATATATATATATAAATAATTTTATTAATCTATTGAATTAAGGATAGTTTTCATCAAATTAATAATATTCAACTACATTATTTTTTACTGAACAGTGATAGGACCTATACAAAATACAAAAGTCGCCACACTAGTTTAGGCACAGTAGAGCAGCCGAGAAACCACGAGATGGTGACTTGCCTAGTTACCCGTGCTTTGGGCCTTTTGGCTGCTTGGAGAGAGAGAGATATATATATATATATATATATATACATATACAAATTCATAATTTTAAAATAACAATTACTATCATTTTAATTTAACAAGGATATTCTCATTATGAGTTCATATTGTTACGATTTGGATTAAAACTTAAACAATAAGGTCTCAAAACACTCACCGTGTACACCAACTTCTACACGCGTTCATGGACACTGTGGGAGTGCCATGTCACGAAACTATAAAAGGAGGTTAACTCACCCCCTAATGTGCATGTCAGGCCCCCAAAGTGCACAACAGCACCCCCAATGTGTGTCGCTGGAACTTTTATTTATACAGATATACTGCGTAAAATTATTATTATTTAGTTATATATTTCTAAAATATTACTATTACTCCTTGAAATTACTGTTTGTACTTTGGAACCTCCTCTTTGTAGCTTTTCCTTTATTCTTTATTGAAAGGCTACAGCTTTGAATCCATTCTTTTGAAAAATTGCAACACTGTAACATTTTTCCACTCCATTGAAAAAGACCTTATGGGACATGTAATTTGGAAACTGAAAGCGCAAGGAGGGTAAAGTGGTAAAAAACCAAACAAACCGATGCGCATGCCACTAACCACTAACAACCGGTACGTACGCAACGGCGACCTCCTCAATTACAGCCGTTAAATTTGAATTCTATTGACTCCCCACTTATCATTTTGCCCTCACTTTGATTGCTCCTCCACTACCCCACCATTTTCATGTGTTCCATTCATCAACATTAGACAAAGCAGCAGCATTGACCTATGATTCTTTTAGTGTACATTACCGTAATCACACCGGCAAGAGATATGGCAATTGTTTGGTTTGTTACTCAAAAAATTAATTTTTATATTTTTTCATATAAAGGAAAACACGGAAAACAAAATTTTTCAGTATGCCTAAGTAAAAGATCGTAAAATTACAAATATTTGATTTTTCTCATACCATGTTATTACGGAAGTATCGTGCACGGAAGTATCGTGCACTGGATTACATATTATTACGAAAGTATCGTGTATCGGATTAGTGTATTGGATTAGTTTATTTTTATAGTATAGCCGGGCTCGGATGTGGCGTCAAAGAATGGACCTAAAAGTTGAAATGGCAGTAACTTTTGGTCAACATAACCAAAGGGGTTTTTCTTGGAGACATGCCGGTGGGATGGGACCAAAGCAATCTAAAATTGCAAATTTATTCACTTTTTAGAATTTTTTTTTCTCTAAAATGAGCAAAATCTAACAAAAAGATTTCAAATTATAAGCAAGACAGCACACATCTATGATTGGCGGGTTATATGGCTTCTCAAAAAGCTAAAGTGAAGAAATAAAGCTATTTTCTAATTCCTATGGGTGGCAGTTTTTGTGAGCCAGATCTTCCAACTTATAGGCTGTAAATATGGACGGGAACGGGGTAAGGTTAGCTAAACCCTATCCTATTGGTAAGAAAATTCGTCATACCGATTCCGATTCTAATTCATAATGAATTTTTAATTGGTATATCATTTCCATCCTTACTCCGGTAGTCAAAGTACTGATTCCGCGTTTAATTGTGGGGCGGGATGGGTTTTGCAACTTTTATTATGTAGTAAAAAAAAAAACTAATTCAATGTGTTCGCTGATAAATAAACTAACCTAACTTTTAAATTACTAAGTGGTGAATAGTAATATATTAACTTACACTTTCAGCAAAGTAACATGTTTCTTAAAAAAATTAAATATATATTTTATATGAATATATTTTTTAAAAGGTAAGTATATAATAGGGGTGGGAGGGGTTCATCACTAAATTCACCCGTCGCAAATCAGTTTTGGGTTTTTAATTATTTTATCACATCCTTCCAAATTCATTTAGGGATTATCAAATTCGCCCCAAATCTATTTAGCGCTATCAAATCTGCCCCATTAGAAACTGGACGGGGTCTTGGGCAATTCCCATCCGTAGCTGTAAAGGGAAATTTATATGGGCATTTAATACATTCTTAGAATTCAGAATATCATTTTTTTTATATTTTTAAATCATTGATCTTCAGAAAAAATAAAAAATAAAAAATTGTTTAATTCTTGCACGTTCCATGATTTCTTTCTTTTTCAAAGGACATATTAGCTTCAATTTAAGGAGTCACATGAAGGATTTAATAGGACCAATAGACAACTGTGCCGTCATTTTTTTATTTTTTTTGTCTTTTGGTTAACAAGGGGGAAATTATACTCTCTTTTTTTTTTCAGAAATTGAGAGAGAATTTTTATTTAGAAAACAACTCCGTGAAGATAAGAAATGAGAATATATATATATATATATATATATATATATATATATATATATAATTTGACTGAACTTGTAATTCCGTTATGCTGGCTATGTTTAATTTTTAGTAAATCAGCAATATAATATAGACACCGACGGACTACAGTCTAGAGCTATGGTGGCATCTTATAGAGCCGGTCACGGGTCCATTTTTTTCCAATCTAAATATGTATAAATACACATATATACATATATATACACTAACGTGAATATATCAACTCTCTGGAACACCAAAATTTATATATATACACACACACTATATATATATATATATATATATATATATATATATATAAATACACACATATATATATATATATATATATATAAATACACATATATACATATATATATACACTAATGTGAATATATCAACTCTCTGGAACACCAAAATTTATATACATATACACACACACTCATATATATTTTTATAAGTGCGTGTGTATATGTATATAAATTTTGGTGTTCCAGAGAGTTGATATATTCACATTAGTACTTAAGCAGTCACAATATATATATATATATTTATAAGTGTGTGTGTATATATATAAATTTTGGTGTTCCAGAGAGTTGATATATTCACATTAGTACTTAAGCAGTCACAACCAGTCAACAAATTGGCAGGCTGAGGAGATTAGAAGAAAAGGAGCAATTAACAAAGAGTACTCAACGCCGGCTAAGACTTCAAAGTTCAAACTTCAAAGTAAATTCAAAAGGGAAGAGTCAACAAATGTAAATTCTCTAAC